GAAATACATTAATTTAGCGGTAGTTACTACACAAATAACAAACAGAAACTTGTTATATCCTCCTGGTGAATGAATTAATTTTTTCATTTGCATGTAGAATACATGCATGCAAGCAAATGAAATGAGTATTTTTAAATAAGTTACCAGTAGCAATATCAAAAGCTATTTCAGCTATTTTAAAAAGAGCTGATATGAAATGGCTCCATTCACACTTCCATTGTTTAAGTTTATTAACAAATCTATCTGGAATATCTCTTTTCTGTTTAAATGTTTCAAAAAAAGGTTGAACAGAGAGGTACTTTTCTCTGAATGTTTAGGTCCCCTCTTTCATCCATTTTGCTGGCTCCTTAACAGAGCCAGCTGTGGAGATAATATACCATTGCCTTTTCTAACAGAGAGTTTTTATGGATCAGAGCTTCTACAGTATCTTCTGTCCTCTTAAACTCACAGTCAGTATCGCCAGGCTGCTCACCCTGAGCCTGGTTCTTTACAATTAAAAGGAAGTTTATACTCTCCACTGTCGCTCCATGCATGCTCGGTGTGAGGGATTGTTGTAGAGTCAACAAAAAAAATGCGATTGCATGTCTCCTGTAACCACACCTCATTTAGGACAAGCGAATCCTGCAAGACAATGAATCAATGCAGTCATCTGGCTTTTCTTAGTTAGAAACTTTGAACCAGTCTGATGGTATGATCTGATTGAAATGTCTTTGTTAAGTGCCTTAAGATGACAGGTGATATGAATTGTTTTTATATACTGTATGTATATAATAAACAATGACTTGAAATTGTATTTAATAGTCACTATTAAACTTGAGGAACAATTCTTGGTTAGGCTTTCATATATATATAGTAAGAGCAACAATTTAAAAGTTCCGAAACTGAAAATTGAAATAAAAATACTGGAAAAGGAAACCAAAATTCCCATCATGCGTAATGAACAGGATTGACGTAAAGAAAAAAAAGTTTGCCATTGAAGAAATGAAGCAAAATGTGGCATGCTTTCCTATTTTTGAGAACACAAGACCACAATACACTGATATTTATATTTATAGATGTTAGATAGATGCCTTTCAGTGCATTACAAATATAGGGCCCAAAATATCAATGCATGAAAAAATAATTAATAAGAGCCGATTCCAATGCCAAAATAGATATATCATGCATCCCTAGAAGTATAATTTGAATTCCATCCAGAAAAAAATGGATATGCTGCATTTTAAATATAGCATAGCATATTTTTTTTCTTGTAAACTTTCTGGTAAACTTGGAGATATATTTTATTGCATGTTGCATATCCCAGTAAATCTGTTTCACCTTTAAATCTGCAGCTCTCCCTGCTTCTCTCTGTTTAAAAAGATTTATTAACCTACTAATTTAATGATGCCAGAAACAACATTTCAAGATATGTAGAAGCTCTGCAATCTGATTCTGTCTGTTCAATAAGAAAACATGTTAATTTTAACCTGTAAATGTGCGTCATGGTCCTCTGAGAAGCCAAGATTTTTTGAACTAGTAAAGAAGAACAAACTTTGTTTTCTCAAACTTCTTGCATTATAATACTAACTTGTATAGACTTACAATCTGTTGCAATTTTTAGCTGAAAAAGCTCCGTATGTCTAACGAACATATTTTACGGTGGCATCTCTAATTTTTTTAACCTAACCTAACTTTTACTTAAACATCGAAGTAGCTGCTGGTTAATATTCACTGAGTGCTGCTGTGTGTCTCTCCTCCAACCACGTAGCTACTCTCTAAGCAGTGAAATGTAACTGCAAATCAAATGTCTCAAAGCGACAGATCCGATGATGTTAGACTGAGATGCGTGACACAGGAGCAGCAGGAGAGAGGAAAAAAAAACCCTGACTCAAAATGCTCTGAACACAGATAGCTGCACCCAACCTCTGTTACCTCCGCTGGCTCCAAGAAAATACAGAGGACATGACCTCTGTGTTCTCAATGCTGGTTACGGAGCTGGCAGGGAATAGACATGAGGATTCCACTAGATGACTCTTGGTCATACTTGGTAATCGAAAAGTAATGAGTATATGAGGAACACATGAGCACTAATGTTATATCATTGTTTAAACCCTTAGTGAAATAAAGCTTGCCCAAGCTTCAACAACAGCTCAAAACCAGATTACTGTAGCATAGCATAGCATGCAGTGCATCCTGTTAGCTTTGTCTTTACTCATCAGTTAACACATGAAAGGATCAAAATCATCAAAAGACATACTGTTTGTTCTTTCCCAATTGTGCCAGACCTGCAAACCCTTTTACCCATGTTCATTTGAGTGGTGGGGGTGGTGGGGGTGGGGGGTGTTAGAGGTTTTAGAGCTGTTTATCCGCCAAACTGTATTTTCTTCTCTGGTCATCATGTCAAGATGAAATATGGACACTGGTTCTCAATGTCCAAAAACCATGATCATGGCATGTGGCCCAACATATATAAATGCTTTGAGCTTCAATCTCAATGAGTTTTTAGCACCATGTTTTTCCTCCCACAGTGTTTGCATTTGATCACTGCTGCACTTTATGGAATGGAAATGTTCTTTTACCGTCTGAAAAACTGTACCGCCTGGATGCAAACTTTTGATTTCAAGTACAACACGTGCTTGTAATTCATAGATTAATAAGACATTAAACTATCAAACAGGTTATTATTTTGTTCTTAAGGTTCTGGAAAATGACATTAAGTGAAGTAAATGTGTTTGTAATTGAGAGAGGGCCAGGAAGCGGAGGGGAACCCATAAAGAGGACCAACCCCATGATGCCATTCTAAAAGAAACAGCAGTGCTTGTAGCAGATTGCTGCAAGCAATTAGATTATAATAGATTATACTTGGGGAGACGTTGCTTTGCACCATTTCCAGATGCTTGGAGGAATTGCTGCAAAGTCACTGACTTCTTCTCTCTCATTATGGTAGGTTGCAAATCACTGATAGGTGCCTACTGCCCCCTGCTTTACATTGGTTTGTAGCGTAGCTTTCCCAATCAATTTTTTTTTTTACTAGTTTTGTGTGAAGGTATATGCATATTGCTTTTCTACGGTAATTACACAGATTTTCTCTTTCTTCCCTTCAGTTCCTAGTATAACTGTAGGAGTATGTTGTTTTTGTTTGATTTAGACAGGACCTACCCTTAATATCGCCATTATTACTTCCTCTCTTCTTTATTAATATAGCTTTATGTATTTTATATGAATTTCTTCTTTTTTTATATTTACCCTAAGGCACACCTGCGTCACCCAGGGTGACTGGGCAGGTGTGCCTTTGTCTTACCCCTATATCATTTTGCTTCCAATCGTTTTTTTTTCTCTCTAAGACCTTCTTCCAGATATAACCAGAGGTGTGTAGTAGCTAGTTACCTTTACTCAGTTACATTTACTTACATAACTAGAAAATACTATTAGGAGTAGTTTTACAGCATCATACTTCTTACTTTTGAGTAAAAATATGATAAAGTATCACTGCTCCTACTTGAGTATAATTTCTGGCTATTCCATCCATTGTGTGTAATTTTTTTTTTTTATAAAAACAAACCTATTCTACATACTGTAACTATTGATTTTGTAAGTTTTATATCTCAGAAATTTATTTTGAATAACTTCATTGCACCTAACTTTTTATTGTGTAATTACTGTGTGATATGTTTGTTTCCATGTTTTCCTTTGAAACTCAAGAATTTGCCTATGACTTAACATTTTGTTCTATTTTACACTATTTTGTAAAATATGAAAACAGATCTTATGATTTTGGATAGTAAGTGAATACTTTGTTACTGTTACTTCAATAGTTATAGGCTACTTTTTACTTTTACTTGGGTAAAAAATATGATGACCTAGTTCTACTCTTGCTGGAGAACAATTTTTGGGCCCTATATCCACATCAGGATATACCAGTGTTGTCAAAAGTGCATACATTTGTAAGTAGAAGTATAGATACTGCAGTTTAAAAACACTCTGATAAACGTTGAAGTATCAACTTGACCTCTTTACTCAAGTAAAAGTGAAAAAGTATGTGCTCCAAAAACTACTTAAAGTATAAAAGTATAAAGTAACCTTTAAAAAAAACAAACAGTCAGATGCCACTATATGAATTGAAATCTCAATTTTTCGACTATCTTAAAAAATTCTTTGAGATAAGGCCAAGGATGAGGGAGGTCTTGTTGGTCTCCATCTCCCGATACGCTCTCGCCTGTTTCCAACCTTTCAGTCATTTCAACATCATTTTCTGAATCCAACATTGTAGCATGGCATAGACAATTCATGTCTGCAGTTTGAAGAACACCTGCTTGCTTCTGATGATTTCCTTTAGCTAACCAATGAATGTCTGCGTTATATGACTCGTCCAATTACACTAGTTTTCACTAGATGTGGATGGCGCCAATGATGGGAAATAGATATTTATAAACATTAAACCGAACCTATTTAAAAATGTAAGGAATAGCAAGTACAGATACTTGTGTGAAAATGTAATGAGTAGAAGTCAGAAGTAGGAAGAAAAATAAGTAATGTAGTAAAGTATAGATTCTTAATAAGTGTGCTTAAGTACAGTAACAAAGTATTTGTACTTTGTTACTTGTCAACTCTGGGATATACCCATGAACCTGAATCTGTAACCAATCAAATTATATATTTTAGGATGCAAATTAGACCTGTTTGTCAAAAAATAAAATGCAGTAAGATTATGTTTGTTGGGAGCTTTGGCCATATAATGAACTATTAAAAGACTATTAAAAAAGTTTTAAATCTTAAACATGAGATTGACAAAACCCTGTTTTTTTGTTTGGTTTCAGTGGTGTAGCTTTATTTCTTAATTTATTTATTTGTTTCTATCTGTAAAAATGTAGACAGTTTCCCCAAGTGTTTAGGGCCCTTTCTGGGTTGGGGCCCTGGACTCATGAGGCCTGCAGGGCCTCTAGAGCAGACAAATGGTCTTCCTCTCAGGCTGGAGCAAACAGAGGGGGGGTGGAGCACATTCATCCTCATTCGGCGGCAGAAATTCAGGAGAAAAGGCTGATAGGAAATAAGAAGTGCGGAGCTCGGCCTGTGAGGGAGAAAACATCGCAGTCAGTGTAAGCAGGGCCTACAGAGAGGAGAGGACTGTTTAGGCCCGAGCGAAGAGAGCAACGAGGCGACAAAATAAAGTCACGTGATCCAAAATGGGCAGTCCTCTGACGGTGCTGAAAAAAAGCCATTTTCTGGCGCCGCTGCACAATTCTGCTCAAGTGCAAATAATTTCTCCCGGAGTCCGGCTGGGAGCGAACTTTAATGTCTGACCAGGTAGGAATAATAGTAATAATAATAAACAACCGCCTCTGTTAGGTTCTCTCTCTCTCTCTTTTTTTTTTTTTTTTTTTTTTGTCGGGGGGCTCTTTGCGTCTCTGTCGGCGGAGGCGCACGCAGAGTTGCCCGGTGTCACATTTGAGGAGCCTCTTGTTCCAGATTCAGCTCCTGTCAGTAAATTTAAGATGGCTGCTTTGTGTAGCGGTGTGATTCCGCAGCCTATCGGTGTCGGTGTTTTCCCTCTGGATGTGCAGGGCCCCCCTCCTCCGGGCCTCCTGCCTGCTCGGACTGCGGAGCTCCGGGGGAAATGGAGTCGCTCTTTGTTGGCCGAAGGGGAGCTGGGAGCTCGGTGCATAAGCTGAGGCCCCGCAGAGGGAGGGCCATTCAATAGCCTGTGTGTAGCTGTTTATAAATATCGCGGCAGTTTCGACTTGTTTTGATTCTGCTTGTTTTGGTTTTGTCCCAAGGACGAGCTCTAGACATTGTGTGCCTGTGAGCAGCGGTGTGGAGATAACCAAATCAAACGCATTTACATTTACACTGCTTCTGTTCCCCCCTCTCCCTCCCCTTTATTGCAGATCTGCCCTGATGGATAAAATGCAGCCGAACCGGGTCAAAATCACAGATCTGAACCCCCTGCTCACGTGCCCGCTGTGCGACGGCTACCTGATCGATGCTACAACCATCGTAGAGTGTCTGCACTCCTGTAAGTCCCCCCCTCCCTGATGAAGGCATTGGCAAACATACCTGCATGCTCCACAGGTTCAGGATACCTCACAGCTTCATGCATACCTGCTTTAGGGCTCTATGAGGCTGATGCATCAACAGATGTGGACTTTTTTTTTTTTGGGTGCAAAACAAAACAAAACAAATTATTGGAAATTTGTTTCCAGTAGCAACATTTCTTAATATATATGAATAGAATTCAACTTTATTGTCATTACACTGTCACAAGTTTAAAGCAAACAAAACTAACTCTCTGCATTTAACCCATCTCCTTGGGGAGCAGTGGGCTGCCACTGTGTGGCGCCTGGGGAGCAGTGTGGGGTTAGGGGTCTTTGCTCAGGGACTCAGAGTGGCAGTCTGTGGAAGTGGGGCTTGAACTCAGGGCCTCTAAGGCTACGTTCACACTGCAGCCTGAAGTGACTCAAATCCGATTTTTTTGCCCATATGTGATCTGGATCTGATCTTTTCATGGCTGTCTGAACAACACAGATATGATTTTTTTCCAATCCGACCCAGGCCACTTGGCTATGTGGTCCTGAATCCGATATGAATCTGATCTTTTCAAATGCAACCTGTGTCTAAACGGCCAGGTCGCATTTATCCTGCCTGAACGGCATTAATACCCGACAAAGGTCACTATTCTGCGTCTTGCTACGCAGAAGCAGCAAGAGAAACAACAGCCATGGTGGACGATGATGCGGAGAGCAGTATTTATGTTTAAACATCTTGGAAAGATTGAGTTTTTATGGTTGGAAAAGACCGCTAGATGCTATCATCCATGTTTACTTCAGTAAACATAGAGCATACTGGCCTGTGACGTCATTGCGTCCTCTACTGCGCATGCAAGACACTTGCGTTCTATGACTGCGGTTTACACAGGAGATCACATACAAGGCAACGCAAAAAAAAATCGGATTGGAATTGAGCATTAAGGCCTGCAGTGTGAAGTAGCCTAAATTCCAAGCCTAATGCCCTAACACTAGGCCACCACTTGCTGCTCTCCAGCATGTTAAAATGCTGGTATCACTAATTTTTTCCAGCGGTAATTCCAACATCAGTGGGTGTCCATTAGGGGTCAGTATAGGCATAGATGTTGCGATATGATATGTGTCGCGGTAGTTGGATCACGATACAATATTATCGCGATATTGCAATGTTACTATATTGCAATATTTTTTCCATCAATCAAATTTAAATGTATTGATTTAAAAAAAGCAAATGCTGTATATGTTTATCAGAAGATATAGGTCATTTAGTTATTTTTGTATCCATGTTGTTTGGGGTCTGAGTCAGTCCAAGTCCACTGTGACTGCCTCAAGTACGGATATGGAGCTGCGCCGCACAGCAGAAAGGCTGCAAAGCGTCACCTGCCAGAGCAGTGGTGCAGAGGTAGCCCATTTTCCCTCATAGTTTTAGGTAAAAATGTTTTGTTTTTTAAAAATCGATACTAGGAACTGAAAGATCGATATTACATCTGGGAGCCGAAAATCACGATATATCACCAAAACAATCTTTATTCCCGCACCCCCAGTGTCTTTTTGCATGTCCTATGTCTGTTTTTGTTATTTACCATAAATAAATAAATTACTTCATGAAGGCAGCATAAATGACAAACTTCTTACAAACTTAACGCCCTTTATTGCTAATGTCATGTGTTAGATTATACAGTAAACATATATAGCTGTGCCATTACATATATAGCAGTGCTCAGGAAGCTATGTGAGGTTAAGGGTCAGGGAGCCAGAGTGGCAGGCTGTGAAAGTGGGGCTCGAACTCAGAACCTGAGGAATTCAAGCGCAATGTCCTAACTGCTTGGCTCCTTCTAATTTCCCATTTAAATGTAGAGAAATTTAAGTTTTTCTTTTAAAAAAGGAAAACTTCTCTGTTTAGAAATGATTATTTTTCATTACTATGGAATGAACGGCAGTGTTGGCCCTGGCATCTACTACAAACACAGCAGGAGAGAATGTTCAACAGCACAGTACTTGTCATTTAGAATCGTTTCACCAAGCTTTTTAACTGTCATTCCACTGTCACAAGTACAGAGCAATGAAATGAAATCTCTGCATTTATCCCATTCCTTTGGGGAGCAGTGGGCTGCCATCGTGCAGCACCCAGGGAGCAGTGTGGGATTAAGCGTCTTTGTTCAGGGAACTTTGGGTCTTTGCTGTGTAAACTGGGGTTCTTACTACATAGAGTTTGCATGTTCTCATCCTGGGACACCTTTAATAAAAAAGAATATTTATAAAATCTGATTTCCTATCAATATGTTTTATTTGATGCTTCTGTTTTATTAGTAAAGAGGTGATCAAGCAGGAAAAATCGTATGTAAGCCAAAGACTGTTTATTGTAACAGAAGTTGCTTATAAAGGCCAAAACACACAGAATCCGATTTTGCATCTGATCTGACAGAAAATCGTGTCGGATGAGGTTGTGGCATTTAGCGCTCATTGAAAGTCAATGGGGATGATCACAACTGACACGATTTTAAGCAAGGGGGGCTTGCGTAGCTCCGATTGAGACATACCCAGGTCTATTTTAGTCGGACTATGCAGCAATTAAGCTGCAATTTCATGGATCTTACAGGAAGAGAGATGCGGTTACTAGGTAAAACCCATCCACTTTGGTGGAAAATACAAAATTAAAATCTGTTAATCACACAGGGATAGAGTCAGTTTTGGAGTTGCATAGAGCATACACAGCAACTGGGATAGACTCGTGCAAAAACAATTAAAGAAACATAAAAAAAAAAGAATACTTTACCTATAACAGGAATTCAGGAGAAAAAGAAAACGGATCCTCTATGAGCCTCACATAAACGAGGGACGAAAAGTGTAGGTTATTAATCTCCTTCAAAAAAAAAAAAAACTTCAGGAGGACAAAAAAAAATGGGTAAAATAGTGATCCTCTTTGAGCCTTACAAAAAACAAAGGGCAGACAGAGCAGATAAGCCTGACATGTTTCTCTCAACTCTCTGGGAAAAAAATAAAAACTCAGATAAACTTCCCAGATCTCTCTCTAAGAATCACCTCATTGCCTCAGTCAGCATATAAACCATCCCACAGCATTTATTGCTGTGTTTTTCTTTTCTTCAGACGTAGATCTCACTATGTTTTTAATATATGAACATTCTCTATCTGATCTGGTTGGAGTTGCTGCACATACTCAAAGTGGGGTTTTGCTTTTCTTTCTTTTCTTGTAATAACTTTTCATAATCTGTCCAAGTCAAATATGGGAAATCGTTATAATTTGTGTATACCAGAGAGACAGAAGTGGGAAAAAAATCTGTACAGATCGTATCACCCTGCCTAGTCGTAGTCTCACCGTACGCAGTCGGTGTACCGCCGAAAATAATTGGATCGGAGATTAAAAAGTCGTACGCAATTGGTTGTAGTCTGGCCTTCAAGTGATGGAGCAAACAATGCGTCAAATATTACTGTGTCCTATGCACACAGCAATAATGGCACAGATATGTTTACTGTATAATCTAACACATGACATTAGCGACAAAGGCCACTCCGTTTGTGAGAAGTTTGAAATTTTTGCTGCCGTCATGAAGTAATTAATTTATTTATGGTAAATAACAAAAACAGACATCGAAGATGCAAACGGACACACACTGATGTTGGAATTTCTACTGGAAAAAATTAGTGATACTAGCATTTCAACATGCTGGAGAGCAGCAAGTGGAGGCCTAGTGGTAAAGGGCAGTAGGCTTGGAATTTAGTGGTTCTGAGTTAAAGCCCCACTCCCACAGACTGCCACTCTGGGTCTCTGAGCAAAGACCCTTAACCCCTCACTGCTCCCTGGGCGCCACACGATGGCAGCCCATTGCTCCCCAGGGGAATGGGTTAAATGCAGAGATTTCATTTCATTGCTCTGTACTTGTGACGGTAAAACGCTGGGGGAAACGATTCGAAATGAGGAGTACTGTGCTGTTAAACATTCTCTCCTGTTGTGTTTGTAGCCTACACAATGCTGTCACATATAGATTTTAATTAATTTTTATGTCACCTTTTAAACTTATGTTTCCAAAATGACCGTTATTGTTTGATTTTGAGTCAGCCGATGCATTTGATGCATCCTCCTCTTCCTGTAGCAGATGAATTGGGAAGTAGCAGGCCTAACTGACCACACCAAACCAAAACACTGCATATTTGCATAATAGCACCATACGTATTTTAATCCTCTAAACATCCTTTTCAATGCATTTTTTGCATTGATGAGGATGAGTTTTGTTTCTCCCAGATTGTTTACATTTGATCGCTTCTGCACTTTAAGAAATGGAAATGTCATGAAAGTTGTACAAACACAGAGTATATATAAAATAACATAAAAGTTGTCTAAGTCTAAGGATAATCTGATGATCCAACATGTTTCTCTTCTCTACCACAACAGAAGCACTTGAACTCAATGCACTGGTAATTTCCACTTTAAAAGTTGAGAGGATCTTCTTTACCATGCCACATGAAGGCAGCATAAGAGTTATTTACATGTATAGTAAATATTAAATAAGAGTGTGCACTAAATGCAAACACTTACTAAAATTATGAGTTGTTTTTCCTTCTGTTTTCTAAATTTTTAGTTGTGCTACTGCAGTAAAGAATGCTTTTATGTTGGCTTTTTATACATCGTAACCAATAGCAACAAATCACAAAATCAAAACTACAGAACAATAGAATATAGTTAGAATCATAGAATCATTTTTTATTCCACTCCCAATAAAAAAAAAAAAAAAACTCCTGAGCATCTTCAAAAATCATGATGAAGAGCTTAAGCTCTGCCTATAAATATCTAGATCTTATCTCAACTTAGAGGTATGGCACATTATGTTAAGTTTTGGGCAGTGTTGTTTTCATCGATGGTGACGAAGTTATTTCATTGACCCTCATGACTATAACGAAGAAACTGGTGAGCTAAACATGGACCCTTGATGGCGAAAACAGAATGAGTCACGGGTGTGAGTTTTTTGTCTACGAGTCTAAAAGAAATATATTAGCTGGTGGTCGGTCAGAAGTTTAAAATGAATCGTGTGCTGTAATCTGTTAGTCAAGCTGAGCAGTATCAGTCATGCTGCTGTGTCCTGTTTAGTCATGCTAATAGTCTGCATGACCACAGATGGATCATGGCAGCAGCGGCAGGGGATAAAATAACCCTGGATCATCCGGTACTGCACGCTCGACTCTTAACAAATTCTGCTTTTCTAGCTGTGCTTGTGCAGAAATGCATCTTTGCGGCGATTAGCTCAGAGTCTGCGGTTCACGCTCCACACTGATGGTTCGCTCTCAGCAGTATGGCTCTACATGCCCTTGTTCCTTAATAAACTATATGTGGCTGATCATCCGTCATATCAACATTTTATTGCTTCCAGCTCACAAGAGATGATGCAAAGCCTACCTTTAGACTTTAGACAGATTTTATTTGTCATTTTGTTTACACAAGTGTAAAGCAACAGGAAATTTCATTTGGAAACAGCTCACTGGACAATTTCATCTTTTAAAAGTGCAGCCTTAAAAATAGTAAAAATGACTGTAAATTTGCAGTTCTAACAATTTTTATATTTATTTTTAACCTATATGAATCCCTAAAGTATATCCAAAGCAAATATTTAATTGCATGCTGTTTATTTTTGGATAAAGATAAAAAGGTACATAGATCTTTGAATATTTCTCTCTCAATAGTTCTTGTCTCTATCTATTTGAATATCAACATTTCAGTTAACATGTCATTATAAGGCAATTATGTAACTTCTCTTTGTATTTTTTATTTTATTGTATATCAGACCCCTATGAATTTAAATCTACTTTGACCCTTGAGCAGCGGTAACCAAGGGGTAAATTCTTAGAAATAAATCCAAAATTGCCAAAGTAGGAAGAAGAAGGTTCTTTGCTTTTTTGGAGCACAGAAGATGTTATTGATCTGTGTGTAATGCATGATTCATAGGAGACAAGGGAGTGTCTGCTTTGCCCTGTATGTCTAAAACCATTCCTTTATTCTGCATTTTGTTAGCCTGTCTGTCTGCTATATTAACCAATAGATGTGTTGAACTAGATCTGCTATTTTCACAACTTTAGTCAGACACTTTTTTTTATGAAGTAGGGCATTAATTCTTAAAAAGAAAAAAGTTTATTTTAATTCTAGAAATCAGTTTTCTTTCATTGCCCATTTTTTTCATTGCCCAACAGCAATGATGAACTCCACAGCAGCATTGGATCTCTAGCAAGTCAGGTTCTGTTTTATTTCTGCTGCCTTTGACTCACCTTCAAAGGTTTACATTTATTTTCTTTTTCTTCTGATTTCTCTAGGCTTTGGTACCACAGAACCAGATTTGTTGTAATTCTCATCTTTGATCAACAGGGAAATCATTCAAAGGATTTGCGGAAAATATATGATTGAAAATCTTTCTCTTAAAAATCCATGAAAACAAAATATATTTTCATAGTGATCAGATATTTATATGTTTATCCAAGAGATTTTGTGACGTTTCACAGCTCTGCATTAAACTACTTTTTAACTGATATAAACAAAAAAAAAACACGCAAGATTATTTTTATGTTTCCAGTTGGAAATGCTAAAAAACAAGCTGAAGTCTACATTCGGACAGACAAACTACTCAAACAACTCTGAGTTCTGTATCAAATATGGCCACACATGTATAGCATGTTCCCAGTTGTAGCTATAAACAAAATTCTTCTGATTGTGTGTGTCCCAGTAAACCAGTGGCACAAATATCTGTTCTTGAATACGCTGCGTTTCTGTTTAAATACACGTTATTCTTATTAGGTCATGTTGAGCCGTTACCATTCCAACATCAGTGGGTGTCCGTTTGCATTGATGCAGTCTGTTTTGTTATTTACCTTAAATAAATTAATTACCATTAGCGTGTTAGCCCAGTTAGGGTTGCTAAATCTAAACTAACTCCCTGTTAGCGGCCGACTTGCCTCTGCAGAAAATACAGATTTTATTAATGGACATTTTTCTGTCTCTGCAATTCTCTGATGGTCTTTCCTCAACTTCCACACTGAAGAGTGTTGTTGTTCTTCCTGCAGTGGTTGTACTAACGCTGATCCGACATCAAACTGCTCCGTCTTCTTTGAAATACAAGACAGATCATAAACGTGAAGCCTTGTCTATTCTGATTCATTAACGACAAGTTTTTTGTCCTTTTTTCTTCTTTTTTTTTAGTTTGTAAAACTTGCATTGTTGCCTTTCTTGAGACAAATCAGTTCTGTCCTCGCTGTGAGGTCCAAGTGCACAAGACATGTCCACAGCTCAGCATCAGGTAAACAAGTGTTTTTTTTGCCGTTGTTTTTTTTTTCTCATTTAAACCATAAATATTTATATGACAGAATTATCTGATTGAACTTTATCGTGTTTCCAGAGCGGACAAAACTCTGCAAGATATAGTTTATAAGCTGGTTCCAGGGCTGTTCAAAGGTAAGGCTGTTTAATGTGAAAGCAGATAGCGGTGTTGCTCGTCTGTCACGGCTGTTTATAGGTGCATTTCTTTACTGAAACCCAGATGAGATGAAAAGGAGGAGAGACTTCTACGCGGAGAACCGGGAGCTGGAACCGGGCGAGGTGGTGGAGACGTTTAACATAGCAGAAGACGAAATCATCAGTCTGTCCATACAGTTCTACCAGAGGAACAGGTGAGTGACAGATTAATACTTTTTGGGTTTTTCTTTTGATTGAAAGATGAGCATAATGATTGGGACTCATGTCTTTTAAAGGTGATGATGGGTAAAAATGAGTAAAGAGTATTATCTGCTTATGCATGAATAGTTGCACCTCTGTCTGTCTGATTTTATATGTAAAAACATTTATTAGGTGCAGGGTTACTAAAGTATGAGATGTATGACTTTCCATGTCTGGTTAGGTGTACAGATAGAATTCAGAATGGAAATTGTTTTATTTTTCATATTTTTATCCTTCTATTTTCTGAAGGGGGAAAAATCTAATGTGTAATAAATGCAGTAAGTTTTATATTAAGATCTTTATCAATTTATTCCACCAACCACATCACAGATAATTCTACCTTTTTTGTTTTGGTTTTTAACTTAGTTACTGAGCGCTTTCATTTAGAAATTGAAAATGATTATTTCCCTTCAAATAATAGTTGTTTATCAATAAAAATGTTTATTTTAACCATTATTTCTATTCGTCGACAGGAGCAACGAAAGGCAGCGATCGGAGATCGAAGGAGACAAGGTACAGGTGGTTGCTGGCACGTAATTAAATCATTTTAATCCAATCTTCTGCTCTTCATCCTGTTAATGTCCCTCCTCTGTACTGTTCTTTGATCCCAGTCCAACGGGAAACGCTTCCTTCAGTGCCCAGCAGCTATGTCCATCACACACTTGGCAAAGTTCCTCCGCAGCAAGATGGACATCCCAAACAATTATCGGGTAACTGGGCACACACACAATAACCTGAACTGTTTTGATTCTGCAGAATCAGAAAAAAGGAGTTAGTGCTTCAATCTCTCTTCTCTTTTTTTCTATCTGTGTGTTTGCAGTATTTTTTCCTATTTGCCTTTTTCAAAAAGAATTTCCCCATTTAAATTAGCATTTCAAGAAGGCAAAGAAACTTTCAGGAGAACAGTGTGAGATTTTCAGTGCTGGATTTGGTAGAAAACACCATAGTTTCCTGATATTTATGTTGAAAAAATGAAAATATTAGAATAGGGCTATGGAATACATTCTCAAATTATTTTTATGGCATTATCACATTTCACAATCTGAATATGGTTAATAAAAAACAACCTGGATTGGAACTGATGTTAGATTATTATTCACGGACCATACGTTACATTAAATTAAATTAAACCTGTCCAGTTTGTGCTCATTGATCATTGCAGCGCTCCAACTGCTTGTCTAGTGTGAACAACCAGAACTGACAATAGATCCTGGATGTCTCCTGCACAGGCCTGGACAAAAATATCTATTTATCACCAAAGCGAGAATCAAATGAGAGTCTTCTTTTAATAGACTTTCTTAAACCCTCTCTTGAATTCAGAAGTTTGCATGCATTTCCTTTATAAAAGTGTCTGATTTAGGTAAAATTTTTTGTGGGTCGTTCTGCAAGATTCTCACAATAGTTGACGGATATTTCAAATCCGTTGGAGCTGAGCCAGGTTTGATGATTTCCCCCTTTCCCCCCTAGTTTTGTCAGTTGCAAGTTTGGCATATGTGAGAGTATTTGCAAACCGATTTTTGTGATGCTTTTTGAGTAACCGTTCCTTCGATGCTGATGGTCTCTCAGGCGATCTTAGTACACGACTCGTTCACTTTATTATTCCTACCAGCCCCAAGGAGCATCCTCTCAACAGTGGCTGAAATTCACTTTAGAAATTAAGGGGGAAATCCCCCCTTATATGCTTGTGAGTGGGGGGGTTTATACATTCATACATTCGAGGGATTGGTTAATGAATAAAAGTCATAATATTGTTGTGCTTAATATGTCTGCTGGTGAAGATTCTCAGTCATCCAGGTCATAGTCATTCCAAAAAAGTGAAAAAACAATCCACTGGACTTTGAGTTTGAAGACGCTTTGCTTCCCATTCAGGAAGCTTTTTCAATTCAAAATGTCAGAAATAGCGTTGAGTTTGAGGCTTTATAGAGTAGACCAAAAACAATATGTCGCTTTCATTTTCCACCCTTCATCTTCTTAGCTGTTGTTTCAGCTGTTCTCTCTTGCCCTTTCCCTTGCTTGATCTCTTTTTTTCTCACTTAACTGTGGGGTTAAAGGAAGAACATATTTTTTAGGATGGAAAACCTTCCAGGATTAAAACTTTTAAGGTTACCTATGCAGCTTAATCGACGCATATATATGCAAAATTTTGCTCTAGCCATTTTGTTTTCTGCTTTGGCTGGTAAAGGTTACAGGACTGTACATTTTACAGATGGTGCAGCTCATTTCGCCCAGGGATGTGGTTAATTTTACCATTTGAGCCAGTTAGGCTGAAACGTATCTTTCGGCTGCTCTGTGATATTGACCTGTTGGAGGATCGGCTTTATCTGGGTCACTGTTCTGGCATCACTTTTGAATTGTGTTCTTTATTAAGAAGCTGGTTCCTCTGTTGATACGACATTAGATTTGCGTATTAGGTAGCGAGCAACATTTGGAATATTTTAAAGGTTGAAGAAGAGTGCATACTAGTGAGTAGAGCAGACGTTCTTCTTCGTCTGAATCTGAAAACGTCCACATTAGTAGCTACACATCATGTGATTTTTTTTTTTAAAGAGGGAATTTACCACATTATAAGAACCAGCTTTGCAGGGATGGATCACATAATGCGCTAATATCACTATCCTGCAGTGAATTTCAGGCCCTGCTCTCAAGATCCTTTGCTTTAGTTATGGACTTGATTCAAGCTTTTAACACACAGAACCTTTATCCTTCCTGAACCATGTAGCTGGACATCTACATTTAGAATTTAGCAAATAGAAATAAATATCGTCTCCAAAACTGACCTAAAACAGAACAAAAATTCAATCTGATTAGAGACCTTTGTGGAAGAAATGTCTCGTTACATATTGATATGCATGTGTGTAAAAACAATTGATTAAATACTGTTGAAATAAACCACTGAAATGAGAAACATGTTTAAAATCTGCATTTGAAAACACTTTCACGCCGTTATTTTGCGATCATTTTAGAGCTGAAACAATTAATTTGATTAATTGTGATTAATCTATAGTTGTTTGTAGCAGCCAAGGATCTGACGCGTAAAGGGAACCTTGGCAAATAAACTGCGACAGACAACACAGAGCGGTGAAGAAGTGGACGTATTTCAGTCACTATCAGAGATCAACAAAGCAGAGTCTGATGAAGAACGTCAGCTGTCATCAGATAGCAGAGCATAGGTTTAGGGCGCAGCTCTGTACGCGTTGGAGCCACTGGCAGAGCAGCATGTAGGAGTAGCAGAAGACACAACGAATGATCTTTTAGGCTTAAAGACACATTTATTTCAGCCTTAGAATCTGCAGTGATGCATGTGATTCAATGTGCCCTAAACATTTATGTTTCAGTCCTGTGTGGTTTAATGCAGGCTATGAACAGAACTCTTTTCTGTCTGAGTTTCTATCATTTTGTAATAAAA